ATGCGGTGCAACCCACACACACACACACACACACACACACACACACACACACACACACACACACACACACACACACACACACTCAGTACTAAATAGCCGCTGTGCCGCCCCCATCTCAGCTCTAAACCAACAAAATACATCTGTGGTTCCAATTAATGACATTTCAAGTAAAACATTTACAAGTGATGTATGAAAAACGTTTCTCCATTCGCCCTTGTTTGTTTCTTTATAAGACAATGAAAAAATGCTTTTCCTGGCATATTGTATACTTTGTACATAAAGCTGAAGTTGAGCATGTTGAGTGGCACTGCATCTGACCTCAGAGAGAAAAAAAAAAAAGATGCAGAAACAAACATATGAGCGCCCCTAAGGTCCATGTTAGCAATTAAATACATTCTAGCCATTAATGATAATACAACATGACACACTGGCTTTTAAATACAATCAAGAGTTGAACTGGAAAAGTGCAGACTCTTTTTTCCGCTAACATGGACTTTCATTATTAGTAATTTAACTATGTGCACATCCAAATGTCTTTCTAGTGCTGGGGGCTCGTGAGGCTGCTCAGAGGCACCTCTTCTCAGGAAATACTACATTCTCTCCTCAGCAAAGCACATCGTACAAGTAGTTCTCAGTACAACTGCAACTCATGCTTCTGTGTTTATTTGTGTTAATGTACTGTAGATTGCCTTTCGCCAGAGACCAGCCAGCTATGGTCTGCTGCATTTGATATCAAAATCCTTCTGTTTATCTTCCACCCTATTGAATATTTCTGATGATACACAAATTAATTGAATGAATTGTGAAGGTGACAACTAGCTAACCCAACCCATGAAACAGTATAAAACCAAACTTGGCTAGTGGCCCACAGCAGCTAGCAGAGCGATACAATAGTAGGTGGTGTGTGTTTGGATGTCAATTGGCAAGAAGTTGTTTACATTCTAAAAGAAATGTAGCTGAGGTCTAATGTATTAATTTCACCCTCATCCTGACCTGACAAAAGGTGGGTGGACATCAACAGTCCTCCACAGCTTTGTATTTGCTCAGCTATGCCCCCTGCTGATTAAATCAAATTTAAAGAATTTTTTTCTCAGAAAAAAACTCGCTCACATGCGCTGCTTCACTTGTTTCACTACAGACATTGTAAGTGCCATTTCACTATGACTTTAAAATGCTGAAAAAGCTACATGCTCAAATGTTTAAGCTTCCAAAAAAAAAGGTGTAGAGGAAGGACTTTAACAGTGCCTGGCAACAGAAAATGGCTCAAATACTGCCACGGTTGTAGAGGTGTTTGAAAAAAAGGATCAATCAAGGTGTGATAAAAGTTCATATCTACTTAGTCCATACGCCAACATTTTAAAGACATTCTGGTGAGGGGGCATGCTGAGGACTATAAACCTAACATGTTCAGAAAGAGAAATAATACACATTGAAGGTCAAATCAAGGTTTTCCTAAAAACTGCCATGCATTTCATATTAACAGTGCCGTCATAGTTTGCTTACTACAACTTGCTTAGGCAAAGTTTGTAGAGCTCAGCTGTGTGCAGTGTTGTGGGGTGTTGTGCTGTGACACCAAGGCATTTTATCAACAGGAAGACGTGACCTTCCCCTGGGCCTCAGCTCGCCGACAAAACAGACAGCCAGAGGCTTAAAATAGGTCCCATTATTCATAAATTGTGAGCCAGCACTTTGTCTTGCCATTTTGCATCCCCAAACAAATTAATTTGTAAAATTGCAAGTAGGAACAATGAAACAAACTGGCCTACATACAAGTCAACTTTAGATATTTGACTTAAACGTGATGAAGGCGAAAAAGGCATCAGCAGTCTTCATTTACAAATATGAGCAAAACTGTTTGAGAAAATGGGAGAACAGGGTTGTACTCATGGTAGCTGCAAAAAGGTAAACACAAATACAAAACCTCCAACTATATTTACATAAATAATGGTGTTTCTGTAGAGTTTGAGTTTTTCCTTTGTAGAAACCAAAATAAACTAGATGCATAAATAAATGTAAAAAGTCATAATACATCTGAATATTACTCTGGTATTTTAATAAGTGCTGTTTTTGGATAGAGTGGCATCATCACCCTGAAGTTTATGCAAGAGTCTAAAGCTGCACCACAGACAAATGTTCCCAAGGATGGAGTGCTGTTTCATTGAGGCCATGGGAGACTGTAGAGCTGTGCAAACAACCCAGCCACTCCTCTCCTGTAGTTTTTGAGCTTTGAAATTTCTTCACAAAGGTTTAAAAGGTGGAAAAACTGATGCCGTATCAGCTCTGAAGGACAATTTCACCACAAAAATGGTGGAAGACTGTGCAGTGGTAGTCATCACAGAAGTCCCCATACGCCACTAATCCTGCACTGTACACCAAATTTGGTGAACACTTGTAATATTTAAGGTAATTTAGATGGTTCCTTGCCACTGCTTTTTTATAAGATAAAAAAAAGGTTTCCCAAGCACATCCTTTCTGGGGTGGAGCCACAACGCAGCACTAATACAGCAGAATGCAGCAGTCAGACTTACTTTGTGGCTACATTTATAGCTTGGCAAGTTCATCTTCTCTGTACTGCAGAGCAGCATAGTAGGGGGTGAAATCTTCTTACCAAGTTTGCTTGGTAAGGAAGCATAGTGGCCAAAGACAAGCATCAGCCAAGTAGGGCACATCTTCACCAGGGCATGAGGAAAACACTCTGCTGTCCCCAAAACAAGCAGAGGGCAGTGCGAGAACACCATCAGGCCCACAGAAAAAAAGCAGGTGATAGGATAAAATAAAAAAAAAAAAAAAAAAAAAAAACACCAACCTGTAACGGTATTTGTGTTAAAAATATTCAAGCTGAAAGCATCCATCATCAGTGCACTGTTCATGGTGTGCTGTAATAGAGAACAGGAAAAAGCTGCTGCATTTGGTTGACAGAAGTAAATACTCCATGACGGGACTGGTGGGCATTGTTTGTGTGTGGGAGATCAGTTTAGTGCATGCTGTCTAATTGTGTGGAATATCCAGTCCATCTTGGTGGTCCATCCTCCATGGTGAGCATCGTTCATCTGTTTCATAAAGTAGTCCAACGCCTCCTGCACCAAAACAGGGCAAAGTAAGAGATTCATAAGTAGATGAATTATCCTACAAAAATTTCAGAAAGCCAAATGTGAAACTTGAAATTATTTAAAAACCTCAAAAATATGATCAGAAGAGATATGAGCACAGAGAAAAGCCTACTTACCTGCTCACTTTTGTCTAGGGCCAGTGTCTTCCTAATGTAGGCAATGTCATCAAATGACTGCAGCTCAGGCATGCCCGAGCCCAGCATCATAGAGAACAGGTTGATGAAGAGGTTAGCATGCTGCCTGATGGCCAGGTAGGCTTTATAACACATCTCCTGGAACCTGGAGGGAGGCGGAAACAAGGGTGTGAGAAAGATAAAAATTGCTTTTGGTTAGTGCCTGGCAGGAAAGACACAGGAACGAGAAGAAAAAGGGATTATAAATACATAGTGTTGATTAGTGACACCCACCCAAAGACAAGTGAGTACCTTGTTTTCATTTCCATTCTGATGGCATCTGAACAAGATTTAAGGCCTTTGATGGTTTCCACAAACGGTGACATTTCACAAAGGACTGTCACTCACAAACTGCACAACCATCTCAGAGTCTAACAGGGCTCTCAGAGGCTCATTCATGGGTTGCAAGCATCAAGTTTTGATTAGTGAAACATTTTCTCAACTGAAGAAAGTGAGTCAGGAAAAATACACCATTCTGCTTATTAAATCCAAACCTCATGAATATTTCCAAAGTAAAAACCTTGTGCCTTCCAGTTTGACCAGTGTGATCCTTCATGTATGTTGTCTACCGTGTCTCAACAAGACAAGAAGAACCAAGTTTTGGGGGTTGACCAGCCAGCAAACCAACAGACTGACAGGTAGCAGATAAAAAGGAGATGGGAGAGCCAGTGCCAAGACAAAAACATTAAGATGTTACAGGACCTCTCAAACTCTTTGGTCTTGGTGCACTCCTGGGATCCCTTGCTGATGACGATGAGGAAGTCCTGGGTCAGAACAAAGGGAACCCGCTCTCTTTTGTAACCAAATTTCTTCTTCTTATGATCCAGGAAATGGCCAAAATCTATATGAAACAACTGAAGAAGAGCAGAACAGAGAAGAAAGCAGGAAGTCAAAGTTCAGTAGCTATTTCCTATGAGTAAATCTAGGATTACAGCATCAGTGAAGAGAGTAATTTCTGCACACCGACTTCAAACCACAAATTAATTTAAATAGACAATCTTCAAATCACAGTCAGATCTATGTTTAACCTGACAAAGATTTGATTAGATTGAAACATTGTGCAGGTTAGTCCATGTGTGTCAACTCTCACATTGTGCACATATAGTATGGATGAAAACCGTAAACTGTCCATCCTTAATCAAAACTGCTGTGTATGTGTGCAAGTTACCTGTCCATCATCTTTGACCATAATGTTGCTGTTGTGCCTGTCTCCTATCCCAAGGATAAATGTAGCTACACAGTAGCCAGCACAGGACCTTGTAAACAGATCCACAGCCATGTCATACCTGTACAAATGCACAACAGTAAGCCGTGATGCCCTTGATAATGTACTAGGGATGTAAGGATACCAAAAACTCACAATACGATACTGCCACAATAAAAAGTCCACAATACAATATTTGTCACAATATTAAAAAATGAAGAAAAAAAAAGATGAAAATCTGCCCATTACTAAATAAATCAGCATTTTCCTATGTTTTCCTTTTAACTTAAAGTGCTCCCACTGTCCTTCTTTATTAAACTAAAGGTAGCCAGCCATGAGCTAAGCATGTGCAAAAACTTGGCATGAATAGTCACTGGCACTGAATGACTGAACTGTTTGTATAATTCTTGCAAAGCAAAAGAATATAATGCAGCAGTCAGTAGCAGTCTTTTTATGAAACAAGATAAAATAATATACTATTGCAGCAACTGGATCTTGTCAACAAAACAAGTCATGCTCCCAGTAGAACATCAGTGTTTTAGTACCCCCTTGGCAGGTTTAATGTTCTCAGTCTTGTGGCCGTGCCAACCAGTGGTCGGGATCTTGGTACTGGACCAGTTAGAGTGGGTATTCCCCGACCACCGGGGGCAGTAGTAAACTAATTTCTGCTTGGCAAACCAAAACAAGAAGAAGCTGCCAAACTAGCTAGGACAATCCACAAAAAGGTGAGATTTGTTTTTGTTACTGGAAGTGTTTTTCAAACATTGTGGTCTACTTTTTCAAGAAAAACGACTTTAAGGATGGTTACTAAGTAGTTGGCTAGCCCATCTCCATTAAAGTGTTGTACACAGGTATGTCCTGACTGTTTCTGTGAGACATATCCAGGACTGTTTCAGTTGCAACCAGGGATAGTATTGCATTTGTCTGGCAATATTTGCAAACTGTTCAGCGTTTGTCAGTTTCCTTTCCGCCTGTGTCATTTCTTGAAAAAACTGAAATGTTGCCACTTAACAGCTGTAAAAGTTAACGATGGAGCATCCGCTATGTCCGTTTCAAATTCTGGGACCTGAACACAGTCATACTAGTGAAAAAACTATATGTAATATCCTGCTAAATACTATCAGAGTTGCAAATATCTCGAAGTTACAAATATCAATACATCCCATTAATGTACTTTAAAAAGAAAAAAAAAACAAGTGGTGTAAATGTAGAGCTGCTTTACCACAATGTCAGGAGAAAATAACTCACATCTCGCCCTTGTTCTTGTCTCTGAGCCACTGATGCAGAGTATTTGAGTTGAACTGCAGAGCTCCCTTCAAGCCCCCTTTACACTGAATCTGCATGATGGTGTGGGAACTTCGAACCACCTCAATAAGACCCACACAGTCTCCCAATGACAGGCAGCCATAGGGAAGCATCCTGGTGATACATACAAAACACACTTCCTTAGCTTAATGCACTAAGCCAAGAATGAGTGAGAGTGAGAATAAAGATACTGAATTAAAAAGACACAGGAGAAAGAGAACTCTAGACTGAGGTAGTAGGACAGAGAGTAGTACCGTAGGTCCAGTCCCTGATTTTGCCAAATATTCTCCATTATTTTAATAATCTGCAGCGTCAGCATATCTTGCCGCAGGTCTAGAAAATAGAGACATGTAATGAAGATAGTTGCAGTTAATAACATCCAGGGACTGTGACTGATTAAACAGATACACAACATTAGGATTAGAGATAGCATAATTATATTAGAAAACCACTTTTAAGAAGCTCTCTGACTTTTAAACAGCACTTTACAATTTATGTCAACATATAAGACTGGGACTGGGAAATACAGTATGTTGCACCGCTTCAAAGCCAGAATCAGGAAGAGTGAAAATCTCTTGCTGTGCAAACAGAGCTGACACTTTCAGAGCATAAGGTGGTGGGAGTGAAAGGTTTCAGTATGTTTAAGCACATGTTGTCAAAATCTTAACAGCTTTATTGTAACTGTGGTCAGGTTTTTAGAACACTAACAATACCACATGCTTGAGGCAGATGTTTATCATAATTCTCAGTATTAGAGCTTTTCAATAAAGAAAAGCATGACCAATTATTTGGCAATGATATATTTATTTTGAAAGCTCTAACATCAATTTAAGCACATACTGTTTTACATTTGTCATTACAGGCAGAACAGACAGAAAGGTTTCGGAACAGTAAGCTAAGCAGCAAACAAAGTTTAAAAAGGAGGTTTAACAGGCTCCGTGTGTGTGTGTGTGTTACCATCTCCATTTTTGAAGATTATCTCATTGTTCTGAAAGAGCAGCTCAGACATGATGTCAGGATTTTCCCAGTTCAACCACAATGGCCTCTTGGCTGATGACATAATTCTGCATTCATCTAACCTGTGCACAAATTAATTCAAGTTCACTTCCCCACTGATGCACATACCCACCTACACATGTAATAGTTCACTGATTATTGCTCCTGACCTCAGGTTTCCCAGTTGGTGTGCAGGGTTGAGAGGAGAGGTGAAGTTCTGCAGAGCATCCATGTAGTCTGGTCTCTTCATCTGGTCCACAAGAAACCGCATCTGGACCTCCACAAGGGACACACAAACAACAATAACAACACACATGGACATTTGCACAATTACAAGTGTGTATGCACAAACCCACAAAAAGTCTTCTAAAAATTACTGCAATTGTGTGGTTTATTGACTCAGAGCAAATTATTTATTTAACAAAGCCACAAATAAATGAATGTTTAATGCCCAAATTGGTCACGCATTCAGATCTGTGCTATTTTGTGCAACACAGATGACACAAAAAATCTGGTCTATAATGGCTGTTAGTTCAATTTTTTTGTGTGTCAATTCAGAGAAAATTATTTTCATGACAGGGTCAATTAAGTGGAGAAGACATTGATGACATCTGGCTGGACTAATTAATAACACAATGGATTTTACACATTATAAATGGTGACAAAGACATAAATAAATAACATCCAGTTACTATGTGGACATGCACAATTTGTTTTGTGTCACTGCTCCTAATTATATGTCTGTACTTGATACTTTGAGTGAGAGCAGCACAGCTAAGTGAGGTCTATATGTCCCTTAGCATGATGCATCAACAACGTACAGGACTCTGCTGGATTCTGAAAACAAATGGAACATAAATCACGTCATGTCTGTGGAGTGCTGCAGTGTAGGAAGCTGTGCAGCCACAGACTGTGAATGAAGCTTCATAATGTCCAGACTAATTTTACACATTCTGAATGGTGATGAAATAGGAAAATTATGCAACTTGTTTATATAATTAAGATACATTCCAGCATCACCACAATTTAGTCATGTCCAAAAATATTGCCCCTGAGAATTTCTGTCAGATAACGCACCATTTCTCCCAGAAAATTGTTCAATCACAAACTCTTTTGTATTCTCATGTTTATTTCTTTTGTTTGCATTGGACCAACACAAAAAAGCCAAATCTGATATACTGCACACAGAACTTCAAAAACTGACTGGTCAGAATTACTGACACCTTTTCAATGACAGAAATGCAGGAGTGCCAATATGTGTGGCTGTATATATCACAGTTTTGAGACATAACTGAGAAAGACTTTAAAAACATATGTTCCTATGTCTGTGTAAGTGCATGCTGCCACCCTCCTTACCTTCTGAGTCTCATCCTTCTTTTCCTGTTTAAGGATGTCAGTAAGGTTAATGAGCTTCTCCATAGCTTCTACCTGCCTGCTCAGGTGTTTGAGGTACATGCCACAAGCCCTGCAATAAGCCTCTAACAGCAGCCCAAACCTCTGACTTGCTGTTTTATTGTGTATTTCTGACCTGTGAGGAAGACACAAATAGAAGCCGGGGAGGCAAGATGAGCTTTCAGTTTTCTGGAAAGACAAAAGAAAAAGCAAACTGGATGGTGACTCACTTGAGATGCCAGAAGAAGAAATGCCCTATCCTTTGATTGGTCAGGGCCTTCTTGAGGAGGAAACGGGCCAGAGGATTGTCAAGATACTGCTCATATTTTAATACCTAGAACAGCAGAAGAGAAAGGGAAGGAGAGAACAATGGAAGATGTACAGAGGAGGTTCAGATGATTCATTTCATACTCTATGATGTCTCCCTAACATGAAGTCTCAGTACACTGAACAACAAATCCAATCTAAGGCATCACAGATTAGAAAGTCTTCACACACAGAAACAGGCCAAATAAAAGCTGCTTTCCAACAGATGTAAGAATGACTGTCAAGGGCACTCAGGCTGGAGAAAGATGTGCTGCAGTCCCCTTCAGTCATAGCTCCTTAATGTCTCTCTGTTTGTCCCATTCTTTTATCAAACAAGTTCTTTAACTCAATGGCCCAGACTTTCACTTAGACCAACCTGCACAAGCTGGATGAGGTACTGGGACAGTTTATCGTCAGTCAGGTATTTGTCAAGACAGCGTACAGCAAACTGCCTGACCATGGGGTCTGGATAGTTGCAATCCAACAGCTCCATGGCCTGCTCAGGACGGATAGATGGCCATTCCTTTAGCAGACAGTACATCTGGAAAACACAAACCAACAACTATGAATAAATTATTATTATTCACCCTTAAAGGCTACTGTATATAGATTACAGAGTTACAACCCTGTACACACACTTTTTATCAGTGATAAATATGCAAAGAAACAAAATGAACATTTGTGCTCTGCTTGTGCAAAGCATAGCTAAGTAAATTAAAAACTCACTCAACTCAAAAATGTGTTTTTTCTTATGTTTAAACATCAGCCCTCCACCATACAGACTGCTGTAGGTGCACAGTTTCTTACTAATAGACTGTTTTCATACTCTGCTGAAGGGGGCAGATAATCTTTTTTGTTCCCAAAAAAGAAAGAGGCTGCAGCAGACTGGATTTGTGACATCACAGATACAGTATGTGCAGTTTAGGGTTAATCAGTGAGCATAAATAAAGCAATACTGACATACTGTTTAATATTATTAGATGGTATGAGATGTGTAGGAGACATGTAGAGACATATACCATTGTTGCGCAAATGTTGAGGCCTGTTCAAGGACTTCACTGAAATTTTTTTTGTTAAAACTGTGTTAGACTATATATTGTTTATAGCAGAGTATTTTTATATGCAAATATAAATATTAAAATGTGTCTGGAGTGGAACTTTAAGTGTAAGAGTGCAAGCAAACAGGTATAAAATCTCATGGCATTGCCTGTGCTACTTCATCTCTGGAGTTCCATTTGACAGCGAGAAGGATTTTGGGAAGGATCTCAGGGATGTTCATGCAGTAGTGCCTGGTAGAAAAAGAGAAAGAAGGTCACTCTTGTGTATTGCTCCACAAGTCTTAATCAGTTGTTTTCACATATGTAGCATGGCAGTCAGGTTAAAACAAAATGTGTAACTTGCTGAAAAAACTTAGAAGAAGCATCGGGATGCAGTTTTGGATAGAAGATGTTTATGTGTAACTTGTATTTAACTGGCCAAATTTGGTTATAGTTAATCCCAAAGCTGTATTCTGTTTTTTTAATAAAAAAGGGTGCCATATGTACGTATATGAACAGCAAATTTAAAGAATGAAAAAAATGTCTCAACCATTAACCTACAACAATAAGCTTGTATTAAATCTGGCTGGGGGCCATGAAAGTAAGATACAGTTCATCTACATACAGCTCCAAGCTGGACTTGTGAAATCTATGCCATGCTACATAATCTATGGCACGACATAAAGCAGTATACTGTAAGTGCTACAGGTGTATGTCTAATGTCATATCTGCTGGGTGGGACATTACCTGTGTCTCCAAAGGAAGTCTTTCTCCTGTTCAGTGATTTCAGACAGAGGGTCTCTGTTACTGAGTTGTCTCAACTGCTCAGTGTCACTCTCTGTCAGAGCGTGATCTCTGGCCACACGGTTGCTCTGAAACACAACAGAGACAAAGTACTTCAAAACACTACCAACAATACCAAGCTCTGATATCTATGAACACCTATCTAGAGTAAAACACCAATAAAATGTTACAATTATTAACCTCTGTAACCCTAAAGCTTGATACAGTATATGGTTCTGCGTTAAATCTATGCTGTACCTACGGCATAGGTAGCACGTAGCTTCATCCCCTATGCCGTAGCCTGACGTGCACCTCTCCAGAAATGCAACTGCACGTCGTGGCAACACAGACAACAACTGTGATTGGTTGCCTTGCATTTCTTCATTCATGTCCCTCGTTGGCCATACAAGCACAGAAAATCCCCCCATGTTCTGCCTCAACTGGTTCAATGGTCGTACATTCCATCTCCTCCAAGGTCTTCTCTCTTATCTGTGTTGAAGTAATTTCAATAAAAGTAACTGCTGTTCAACATCTGTTATTTTACTCCATTATGACCCACTCAGTTTCATTTGCCATTGTTATTAAGTGGTGAAGAAAGGCGACACAGTGATATAAAAACCCTACTGTCGACTAGTGTTTTGGTGATGTAATTGCAGGGCGACACAGACACACCAGCGCACAAGTAAAAATGCTCACAACAGCATAGTCCATTTAATACAGAACCATAAATAAATCTTAAGTCATTACATTACCAACCAGCAGACTTTCTGAAATTATATGCTTTCATTTCTTTTCTTTATTTGTTTTCGAGCATCAAAACACAAAGCAGCTGGGTACTGGTCCATATTATGCAGTTGAGGTGTGAAAGCTGAACTACAAGTAACTACATTTTTTAAAAACCTGAACTGATGAGCCTTTTATGCTGTTGCACCTTTCTAACCCACTGGTTAGTGGCGGGTAAGCAGGTTATTACCTGTCCAGAGAGGTTGTAGTTAAACCCCAGTTCCCTTGAGATGGTCCAGTTTGCATGATCCTCTACTGCATTCATATCAGGGTATTTAACTGGACTACTGAAGTGGTCAAACTCCAGCTCCAGACATGGCGTTTCCTGCACAACAGAGATTAAAAGAAAAAGACCATAATATGTAAATTGACAGTATCTCATTAAACTTTCATTGAAATGTTTTTCTCTCTTGCCTCATTTTTTGTACAGTCTTAACATGTTGCATTTATGCAAAGAATAGCATGATAATGACCTCCACACCTTATTGGGGTTGGATCCGGTGACCCCTATGGGGTTGAGGAGGTCTTCAAGGCCATGAGGGACAGGCCAGAGATTCAGAGCCATCTTGCTGGCCACGAGAGTGTGAGTGTAGTCGAACAAGTTGACATTACCCCAGGCTAGTGGACAATGCTCCTAAAGTGAGAAAGAGAAGAACAGAAGGAGAGAGATAGAGACCTCCTGACTGCTGTAATTAGTTTCTATGTGAGAATTTCCTGAGAAACAAACTGTTTCCTCGTTGTTACCATTATCTTGAGAACAGCAACTCAGAATAAAGTCTACATCAAATACAGCGTAACACAATACTTCCATAAAGTACTAAACAACAAATACAGCTATTTTCACAAATAACCTTCTCAAAAACTAAAGAGAGTTTCAGATTCCACACTTGTTAAATTCTTAACAGGACTCAAAGGGTCCAGAAAGTCACACTGTTGTTCACACTGTTGAACCTCTATATTGGTAAGGGATGCTGGTTGGTTCCCAGTCTCAAAAGTTAGGTTTATACTTTGTCAGGCATACAGAGGAGAGGCTCTTTGATGGATGGACAATTAATTGTCTTCTTTGTATTGGTGTGCCTGCATTCTATATAAATGGGTTTCATAAGGTTGTAAAAGATTTTTAAAGGGTTGTAAAAGGTTTGATTGGGTTGCTAAGGTTGCAATATCTTTTCACAGATTCTAATTAATTTTATGGGGTTTGAAGGCTTTTAATAAATTTTTAATAAGAAGCCCACTTCATACCAACAATGTGACCCTGAAAGGCTGAGTAGGTAGGTTTGTACACACAGATGATTTTGGCTGGATGCTTTGTGGTACGGCAGGTTCATGATCATAACCACTGTTCATTTGTATGGGAGAAATTAATTCAATTAAACTCTGAATTGGGCCTTTCTATGAGTGTTTCCGCTAAATTATAAACCAAGCTACAATAAATGTTTATATAGTTTTGGAATATATTTGCCATAACTTGAAATATGTTCTGGGGTTTCATCTTTTTATTAAGGCTTTCACATCATTTATTTTATTTGTACTACTCCTTCGAAAGCTACCATGTGAGCTTCCACAGGAGCTGGGGAAAGGTCAAACATCTTGAGCTTCAGAGTGAGTTTTCACAAAGAAGCAGTGATGGAATAAGGTGACAAAGTGCAACATGGTGATGCAGACTGAGTTACATGCAGACAGCCAGTCAAAACGCACCTCTTTATAGTAAGTGCTGGAACAAAAGGTGGCTATAGAGAAGTGTTTATCTTTAATTCAGGTGGGGCATGAAAGAATATCCGCTAATCAGACTTAAACCTAGCATGTCACAGCAGGACACAAGACTCACCCCAGGTGTCTGTTACAATATCCATGTCTGGCATTCAGTGATACACACTACACACTCTCTCTCTCTCTCACACTCACTCACACACACACAGTCATTCATTTTCATCCCTTATGAGGCCTTCATATTGGCTTCTAGTACATTCATTTTCACAACTTTCCACCAAAGAGAGATGGCAAAAAATCTGTCAATGCAGATGCTGCTTACAAGTACCAGACCAAATACACAAATACAAATACACCCGCCATAGTTTTTTAAACACGGTAAAAATGTACATTTTCATTGCAAAGCTGATATAAGTAGAATATGTTAGACAACAAAAATGACTTTTTAATGACATTATTAGTTTCCTAACTTGACAGCCCTAATTTTAATTTCTCATTACCTGAGTATTCTGCTTTTATGCTGTTAAAGTCTTTATTTCAAATACCTTAATGTGACTTTAAGAAAGAACAATAAGTCCCTTTTACATCATCCAAAACATACAGTATTTTAACATGACAGGAAAAGTCCTTTCTACTACTTGTCTTTCTGGTGATGTGTTCTGCACAACAGCCCATGACTGATTAGTAATTAAACACAGCCCAAGATGATACCACAGCTCCCATTTACCATGGACACCAATACTCAGACAGACCGGCACACACAGTAGGGTAAGTTCCAATGTGCCTGTATGTGTCAGACACACAAACACACATAATGCACCCACACATGCAAGGTCCAACAAAGATGGGTTAGTATGACATTATTTAGACACATGAAGGTCATCTGCTATCTTTAGACTGCAACTGTAGCATGGTTATATAGCATCTCTCTCTACTGGCATCTGCATGACCATGTATTACAGTAGTTTCCTTTGGCTAACATGAGCTCATATTTATTTCTGTGGTGTTATAGGTAAATCACAAAATATCATTTTTGTTAACTCAGTTACTTAAACTGCTTTTAATACATAATTAAACTCATTTTCTCACTGCGGCTTTTGACACTATTGATCACAGCATCTTATTACAAAGACTTGAACATGTTATTGGGAATAAAGGAACTGCACTAAGTTGGTTCAAATCTTATTTATCAGAACGATTCCAATTTGTTCATGTTAATGACGACTCTTCCACACAGGCTAAAGTTAGTCATGGCGTTCCACAGGGATCTGGGCTAGGTCCAATTCTCTTCACTTTATACATGCTCCCTTTAGGCAATATTATCAGGAAACACAGCATTCATTTCCATTGCAATGCAGATGATACTCAGTTCTATTTATTTATGAACCCAGATGGATCAGATCAGTTGGTCAAACTTCAAGCATGTCTTAAAGACATAAAGGCCTGGATGACCTGTAATTTCCTCTCCTCTCCCTGTCTCTCTCTCTCCATGCATCTATATGCCACCATTACACATCACTAACTGTGTGTCTCCTCTCTCCTGTAGTGTGTTCTCTCTCTCTCCCTGTATCTTTCTGCAGGTTGCCCTGGCTCTGGAGCTCTATGTTTCTGATTAGCAATCACTGGCCACATCAACCTGCCCAGTGTTTGGTTGTTGTGTGTTGTTGCTTTTCTTTTCCTTTCTCTCTCCTCTATCCACTCACCCCAACCAGTGGAGGCAGAAGGCCACCCACCAAAAGCTGGGGTCTGTCGGAGGTTTCTTTCCTTAAAGGGAGTTTTTCCTCTTCACTGTGAGGTGAAGGTCTAGACCTTACATTGTAAAGTGTCCTGAGACAACATTTGTTGTGATTTGGTGCAATACAAATAAAACTGAATTGAACTGAACTTTCAATAAGATCTCTCAGTGAAAATATAGGGCAAAGTATTTCTCTTTTCCATAATTATCCCTAACTTGCCTTTTAAGACACTTCCTGTTTTTGCATGTCCACTTCCCGTCAACTACGAACTAAACTCACACTGCAGAGTCTTTTCCTTCACTACTTTCTAACATACCTCCTTGGCTCCCTTCCTGCCCTTAACAGAGCAGATGGACAGACAGAGTCTGGCAGCACGAGGGATGTCTGGGATGTACATATCATAAGTGAGCCACTCATTCCACCTGGACAATAAGAATAAAGGAGATACAAAGACAGTTAGATAAAGCCTACACAATCTCTGTGTAGTCTACAGCTCATTACCAGTTCTACGTGGCCCAACAAACAGCTTCTGATGCTTCATGACAGAAAACTACACAGTTACACTGAGCTGATATTTTTAGAAACAAAGGGGACACTGACAACTGTGAAGACTTTTGCGGTAGGTGGTATTTCTTTTAAGTGAAAACTGAGGTCATGGTTTAACTGTAATCTAATACAACGGTTTAGTGTTACTAGTCAACTTTGAACTGTTAACTTACCCTTAGACTGTTTAAAGTCAATTATCTGCGTAGATTGTCTAAAAGGAGTATTTTCTTGAAATAAATTCAAAGTGATAATAAGTGGTAATCATGTCTGTTACTTGGTACTACAATTGATTGACTGTATTTTATTTCAAATTTTAATTAACTACTAAATATTTAAATAACCCACCGTATATAAAAACTTTTTAGCACTTGGTCACAGTGTTTAAGCAAGTGCTTTGCAGATAAATGTAATATTATTATTATTATTATTATTATTATTATGATGATGAGGACCTGTTGGGGCTGCTGCAGTGTATTAAAATGTTTTTCGTGAAGGTTAATTACCTGGGGTTAGAGCAGGGCACTCTCTGTGTGTTGACATTGTCACACATCTGTTCACCTCCATGGTAAATACCTGTCCTCACATATATCTATATGCAGAAAGAAGAAGTCAAATAGATGAAAGAAAAAAATAACAGCCATAATAAGCAACATACAAGCATGTTATCACCACCAAGTACTGATCTTTTTTTCAGACTGGTTTGTATCTCAGAGTTACGAGAGTGATAACTCTGATAAGAGCTGTCAAGTTAAATGGTCAGTACTGTGAAGCAGCAGTTTTGTTACATTTATATGAATGATTCAAGACAGCAAGCCAACAGCAGCTGGCAGAACTACTCTCTCTTGCTAAAGATCTCTGTTCATACGAGACTTGGAGTATGACTGCGTTTGTACAGGAAGTGAGGGAGCTGAGTGAAGGGACCTTGTGCACAAGTGAAAAAACAATCAACTGCTACTGCTCAAAAACTAATCTAAATTACATTTAATACTTTGATTTAGACAGATTCCTTTTTACTCATGAAAAAAAAAACTCCAATAATAGGCCTTTTTTAACTACTGAAAGGTCATTTTTAATTTAGTTCCTCCTCCTATAAGTGAGCAAAGTGTTTATGAAAGTGTTAGTACTGAGTGCTGGAGTTGCGAACCCATTGTTAAAAGTGATTGATGTAATCAGTAGGCGTCCCCACCTTGTCAATGTCCCGTATATTCACATTAACATAGGTGGCACAGAGGATTCGTATTCGTAGAGTTCCATTGATGGTCCACAGTGACTTGGCAGCTGCCTCCCCGTTCATATAGGATGTTGCCGTGGAGATGCGTCGAGAGTATGATGGCATGGCAAAGTTGTCTGTAGGCAACTGGCTGTATAGGCTGTCTTTAGCCATTAGCATTAGGTTAGGCATCCTGCTCAGCATGATGCAACTACGGATATACTGGAAGGAGTTAGACAGAGAAAGGGAATGACGAGGAGGAGGACAGTTAGAACAAAAGTCTGCACAGAGCTGATAGAGTTACACCATGCGTAAGTGTAGCTAATTATGTCAATTGGTCATTTTCCAGTAGCTGAGTGTAGAGGAAACAATGACACCATGTGCATCTTCTACTTTGATCGGCTCAAAGAGAATCTCTCCTGGCTCAGAGCATGAGCTCAGAATGCTGTGCACTGGCAAATGATTGCAGTATTTTATTACCAAGCAGAGGAATCATTTTGACATGTCCACAGTGATTGTTATAAGGATTTGAACCAGATTGGACTATATCCTGATTAATTTAAAAAGTCAGCCCTGAGCCAGCAGAGCAGTTCAGGCCAGATCCACTGTATTTAGCAATGCTGCAAAAAACGCATGGTGGACACCATAGCATCGGAGTGTGAAGGTTTTTGTGGCAAAAGGTCCCATCTATGCTGTACTGTCTTTCAGCTGTTCATTCATGTAGAACAATGATGCTGAATCAGTTTTAACCCAACCTGACTCAGTCTACCACCCTGTATTTTACATTTTTACTGTAAATTAAGATCTACATGTTCACAAATTCAATTTTTTCACATTTTTATTAACTACGGATGCACTAACCAGATTCATGCCCCTATGTCTCTTACCTTATACTGGCTGATGGGGTACTTTTCCAGCAGGTACTCATCACAGCCACAAACTTTGAGGATGTATTTACCCTGGTATTCCTGAACACACATCTTTAGCTGCTCTGGGGACAGCAGCATGCTGCGTGTCTTCTTACGAATGGCCTCTGCAATCACCTTTAGAACACAAGGTACATGCAGACAGACATAGTGACAATTTCTTCTCATTGAATTTAAAAATTAAGGTGTGGCTCATGAATGATTCGTTGACCTTTCATTTTAGCTCATATTCACCCCACCTGTTCAGGCACAGAGTCGTGGTTGATCTTCAGCGTATACTTTTGCTTGTCGTTATTCGGAGAAACAATCACCCAAATCACAACAATAATTTGACCTTCAAAAAGAAACAGACATTAAAACCCATGAATGTGGAGGATGAAAAAAAATAACAGACCAGTTTTTATTCAAGCAGCACTCCATTAACAATAGCCCATGTTTAGTTATTTGGAGGTCTGACCCTGTTGTAACATGTTCTCTTCTTCCTTTCCAAGAATTAAGACAGTATCATCATCATATCAACCAATTTACTGATTGTCTGATCCATTACTGTAGTTTCTATCTATTGTAAAGGCTCACTGGTAGTAATGCAGTATGACATCAATACTAAAATGTTTAGTGCTTGCCTGCTGTTGCCCTCTCGCTGTCTTAAGCCCTTTTCAGACATGCACTCGAACCCTGCCATTCTCTAGACCAGGGATTCTCAATCTTAATATTCAAAGGTCTGAATCTGATTTCTAATCATGGTCAAGAGTCCGGAACAATTAGTGATAATCAAATGACTTTTATTAAACCTGCTTATAACTTACAAGCAACGTACACTCACCAGCCACTTTATTAGGTACACCTGTACAATTGAATGCAGCACTTCCACCTTAACACCTGTGTTTATGAAGTTCACAATGTTTCAGTTTTAGTGAAATTGGCATAAATGTATAAATTTAATTATACAGGTATGTGTATTATTGAGGTCATAGTTAAAGGCGGTGTTGTACTGGACTAAATTATATTTAGAAGTGTTCCTAATATTCATAAACACAGATGCTAAGGCAGAAGTGCTGCACTGAATTGCACAGAATTGTACAGGGGTACATTCAAGTTTAAGGCAGTCAGAAACAAAATATATTCAAGCCTAGAGGAAAAAAAGCCACTGTTTGACTGTCTGGGGCTCCAGTAGCTCTCTTTTGCTGTGTCACAGATCTCACAAACAACTTGTTTGTTGATTCATAGTAAGATTTTAACTGTGGAGCTAGTGGGCACATTGATGGTGTTTCTATCACGCAACTGGCACAAAGCCAGAATAATAAAAACATCTGAGCATGAACAAAAAGGCCATTTACACAAAGACGCTAACAAAAATGTCCACACAACCCCTCCCCCTAAAAAGGTACATTTTTTGTTTCCAAAGATGCTTATTTTTCTCTTTTAAACTCCTCCATGAAGCATCCTGTGATACTGGCTAGACTCCACACCGACTAAAACTGGTGCTTACCTTTGTCCAATTTGCTATAGATGTGCTTGGGAAGTTCCTGTGTAGATTCTACATTTGGTGGGTAAACATATAGCGCTCTACTGTGGGGCCCGCTGGCATCTCTCAACTCCACAGAGTCTTTACAAACATTCAGGATGTTTCTCCTGAAGTCCTGAACCTCAGGGTCCTTCACAAGGTCAAATTCACACACAGGCATGCCAATGGCAAAACCTGGCAGAACACAAAGCAAAGCTGGTGGTTTTTTGTCTCTAAAGGCAATTTTGGTTATATACAGTATGTCAATTCAAGCATACATTAAGAGTTCTTAATAAATCAATGAGTATTTTAGAGAAACATTTGCAACTTTAGTATTTTCCACTTAATGAAAACTAGTAACTATTAGATTATCTATAAATAAAATAAATCTGGTAAATTATTCATTCACTTAAAATTTAATATTTTGCTACTCTGAAGCAAAATTTGTCCTCTAACTAAACAGAAAAGCGTATTTTGCATTTGTCACATTCCAAAACCATATTTTAATTTACAATTTTGAACTAACCAGAGTAACAAACAACACTAAACCAAAGCTTCTACAGAACCAAAGCTGTTAGAAGAGAAGAACCTCTCACCAATCTCTCTGTTGAGGATCTTTTCCTCTCTGTTGCCAACTGGTTCAATGACCTTGAGGAAGGGCTGGAATAGTCTGAGATCACAGAGCCTCCGAGTCTCATCATAGAACTCCTCCCGCTCTGCTTCCTGCAGGCAGGAAAAGAGTGAGGCTGTGTTCAGTATTACACCTTGTTTTCAATGAAAGCCAATGGTGAATTGCTTTAAGAGCTGACAGCCTCCCTGCAGGTGTAGACTGGATGTTTTAGAAAAGTGGACAGCATAGTACATTTTTGAGCAAACTATTTCAGTTTTGTAAAGAATTCAAGTATTGCACTTTCCCGTTATCTTCATGATAGCTCAACACAGAAGCTTTTATGTAAATACAGTATCTGATAAGTTTTAGAGAGCTTATTCCTATTTCGTAGAAGCTAAGGACATCTTGGCAATTTCTGTTCCATTCATATTATAAACCACTGTCTGTGATGTTCCATTAGACATTCAGTAATGGACTTCCATTATGTTTACTCATTTAGATGTACACCTCTGCCTGCCAGATATTCTAAATGAGATTAAGAGTTCGTACCTGTGTAACACTGACAAAGATATAGGATGTCTCCTCCTGCAGGAGGTGATGGAGAGGATATTTCCTGGCCTCCTTGAACAGTTCATGTTTGATGGTAATGAGCGTGGCCTCACGGAGACACTCCAGGGTCAGAATCATCCCATTGGGGAGCAGGCAGTCCACCAGAATCCTGCAGACACACCCAGCATCATTACACAACACTAATGGTGAAATTCATGATATTCTTTTTACTTGCTTTGCCTTATTGACATTTTAAGCTTAAAGAAAATCTTAATATTCGATAAGGAATATATACAAATGATGCAATATTGGAATACTACTGTAAATAACACATTAAATAGGTGCATGTGAATTTTGAAGCTTTTTGGCAATTAACATCTACACAATAAAAAATACAAAATGCATTTGTGACCACAATAGGATCCAGTGTCTCCTACCTGGGGGGCATCAAGTGGATGCCCCATAACTCCCCTGAGGATGGCCTGGGAGGCATCTTCCTCTCTGTCTCTCAGCTCAGTCACACAGTTAAACTGCAGAGCAAAACCTGAAAGACAATAACACTTTAAATTATGACCCTCTTTGTGAAAAACCACGGGCTGAATGCCCCTGCAGTGACAATTACTGTAAAAAATTAGGTGCTGTATGTTTATTAAATACAGTTTGATACTTCTGTTTGGATTAAGTATGTTGGTGGTACTATAGAAGTATTTATTCAGGGTAGGTCCACTGAGACGCCACCTCTCTCTTTTATTTTAGAAATGCCCTGATCACATTCACACAGTTACACATTCATATCTGGATGTTACCTAGTACAACCACAGTCTTATCTGCTGGTCACTGAAGAGCTCCACTGGAGCAGGTGGCGTTAAGAGTCTCGATTCAAGGACACCACACTGGTGTTAATGGGGGTGGGACGGGTGATGCTTTCTTACCTGTCCCATTGAGATTTAATCCCACCAGTCCAACCTTGCTTGAACAACCTCACTACTCACATGTCACCACTCCTCCAAACTTAGTCAAGAGCAGGACTGACCTTAAACACATTGTTTAAAAAGAGCACATGCCATACTACAGATGAAACCATCCCACAGTACCTTGAGACAAACTCTATTTTGTAACATTAAATCTACTTCATCTTACTGCTCCTGTCACACTGAACAATTAACCAAAAGTAGAGACAAACAAATTGTTTCCCAGTGGTCTGCTGAAAGAAAATATTTTAACTCAGCCTGCAAATCATGTCAGTTTAGTCCAAAAATCTCAAGCCAAAGAAAGCTTTGTATTATGCACTTATTCCAATTTAACCGCCCCAGTGCCTGCAACAGCAGTGTTATACTATGAACCATTTATCCATCTGATGTTCAACCATCTTTCTGTTCAACTCCTATCCAATCGGAAAAAGGCCCTTTCCCACTCAGATGGGTTATTCCACTGAAGAGTATTTGGCTTAACACTTGACACTAAATGAAAAGACAAAAGAAGTCACTGCCCTGTAGGGAATTCAGCCAGGTAAAGTGCATAACTCATACTCTAGGCAAAATCCAGTAAAGGACCTTCATCACAAGTGTTTCAGATCCAGCCTCTCACTACTGTATCTTATTCAAAAAGAGGCCACATCTCCCAATTTTTTGAGGAATTCAAGAAGAATTAAAATGAAACTAAACTGCAATTCAGTTCAATTACTGGCAAAGGAAATCCAGGTTCAATATCAATACTGCTGGAAAAAAAAAAATCACACCCTGACACATTTAGATCTACCAAAACGATAGTTTCACTGCACTTCTCTGTGCCCTTCCAAACATACAGTGGGTATGGAAAGTATTCAGACCCCCTTAAATTTTTCACTCTTTGTTATATTGCAGCCATATGCTAAAATCATTTAAGTTCATTTTTTTCCTCATTAATGTACACACAGCACCCCATATTGACAGAAAAACACAGAATTTTTGACATTTTTGCAGATTTATTAAAAAAGAAAAACTGAAATATCACATGGTCATAAGTATTCAGACCCTTCGCTGTGACACTCATATATTTAACTTAGGTACTGTCCATTTCTTCTGATCATCCCTCAGATGGTTCTACACCTTCATTTGAGTCCAGCGGTGTTTGATTATACTGATTGGACGTGATTAGGAAAGCCACACACCTGTCTATATAAGACCCTACAGCTCACAGTGCATGTCAGAGCAAATGAGAATCATGAGGTCAAAGGAACTGCCTGAAGAGCTCAGAGACAGAATTGTGGCAAGGCACAGATCTGGCCAAGGTTACAAAAAAATTTCTGGTTCACTTAAGGTTCCTAAGAGCACAGTGGCCTCCATAATCCTTAAATGGAAGACGTTTGGGATGACCAGAACCCTTCCTGGAGCTGGCCGTCCGGCCAAACTGAGCTATCGGGGGAGAAGAGCCTTGGTGAGAGAGGTACAGAAGAACCCAAAGATGACTGTGGCTGAGCTCCAGAGATGCAGTCGGGAGATGGGAGAAAGTTGTAGAAAGTCAACCATCACTGCAGCCCTCCACCAGTCGGGGCTTTATGGCAGAGTGGCCCGACGGAAGCCTCTCCTCAGTGCAAGACACATGAAAGCCCGCCTGGAGTTTGCTAAAAAACACCTGAAGGACTCCAAGATGGTGAGAAATAAGATTCTCTGGTCTGATGAGACCAAGATAGCACTTTTTGGCCTTAATTCTAAGCGGTATGTGTGGAGAAAACCAGGCACTGCTCATCACCTGTCCAATACAGTCCCAACGGTGAAGCATGGTGGTGGCAGCATCATGCTATGGGGGTGTTTTTCAGCTGCAGGGACAGGACGACTGGTTGCAATCGAGGGAAGGATGAATGTGGCCAAGTACAGGGATATCCTGGACGAAAACCTTCTCCAGAGTGCTCAGGACCTCAGACTGGGCCGAAGGTTCACCTTCCCACAAGACAATGACCCTAAGCACACAGCTAAAATAACGAAGGAGTGGCTTCACAACAACTCTGTGACTGTTCTTGAATGGTCCCGCCAGAGCCCTGACTTAAACCCCATTGAGCATCTCTGGAGAGACCTGAAAATGTCAACCAATGTTTACCATCCAACCTGACAGAACTGGAGAGGATCTGCAAGGAGGAATGGCAGAGGATCCCCAAATGCAGGTGTGAAAAACTTGTTGCATCATTCCTAAAAAGACTCATGGCTGTATTAGCTCAAAAGGGTGCTTCTACTAAATACTGAGCAAAGGGTCTGAATACTTATGACCATGTGATATTTCAGTTTTTCTTTTTTAATAAATCTGCAAAAATGTCAAAAATTCTGTGTTTTTCTGTCAATATGGGGTGCTGTGTGTACATTAATGAGGAAAAAAATGAACTTAAATGATTTTAGCATATGGCTGCAATATAACAAAGAGTGAAAAATTTAAGGGGGTCTGAATAATTTCCGTACCCACTGTATATGAGAAAAAATGGAATTATGTTAGAGGCACCTCTGTTAGAGGTTCTTCTTGAATTTTATAGAATACAAGTTAGAGATTATTTTTAAATGGCTAAAAACAGTATACTGATTAGGTACATAAAGGTTAATATGTTTATTTCTACTAAATGAAGGAACCTATCACCTAGGTTTTAAAGCAGATGCTATGAAATATTTTCAGACCCTTAGAAACAGACGGCTGTTGATACCGAAATATTTATTTGTAAGACTCTTTCTACAAATGCAGATTTGATTTTGTTTTTAATGAAACATTTTTATTCTGACATTAATTTGACATTTATATTGAGTGATGCACACCTAGCAAACAAAAATATGTATTAAATGTCAATTACACAATCAGTTAATTATTGTCAGCAGCAGACCAAGATCACTTTTAAAGATAGTGTGAGCCATTAACAAGTACAATATTATATCTGTACTTAATATTTCTCAAGGAAACTGAGCCAAGATAAGTTGTTAATAGCTGTGGCTGTATTTTTACCGTATCAATCAAGATCAGCTCATTCAGCCTTCTCTCATATAGAGTACCGGGAAATTAAGGGTCTTTGGGGACTTCAGTGACACTGCTCTTCTAGATAAACTGCTCAGGCCAAGCAGAAAAACAACACAGTGATGAGAATGTGTTTTGTGGGCTTTTAGAAAATTACAACATTATGGCTTAATTTAACCTTTGGACAGCTTATGGCAATTCTCAGGAAAGCAGTCAAAATGAGATGAAAAGCAAGAATTGCTTATCATCCATCCAGCCAATATCCATCTTTCAACAGGACCGCTTTGTTTGCCCTTCTTCTTCATTAGTGTAGTGCTTGCAACTGTGGAAGCTACTCTCTCTGGAGTATATTATCTGCAGTATCTAGTGTACACTGTATTACCTTAACATCTTAAGGAAAACTAGATTTTCTTTAGGAAAAATAGCCTGAACTAATAATCAAGAATCCAAAACACCCTCCCAAACAGCACTGTACAGCCATGTGTTTTTGTGTTCATAATTTGAATACATCTGTGTTACAACATTATGAGGACATAATAATAATGTTCAAAAAGAACCCATGACTGAAAACTCTATCAACAACACCAGTGTAACTACTTTACCAATGGATCAAACTGCCTTGAAACAATATTTTGTTTGGTGGATTCTTTGAGAAAAAAACCATTAGCAAACAGCAAAAAAGGATATGTGGGTGTGTAGAGATCTTTATTGTTCATTTTGTTCAGCAACAGCATTGAAGTAAGCTAAAGATGTTTTAACATTTAACTGTAATGCAGCGTTTCAGATGAGGAAACACCAACATTTAAGTTCTGTTAATGCAAGTGTATGTCATTTTACAAAACTAGCATTACTTTTATATGCCCCAGTTCTAACTACCAGGACTCTAGGCACCTAACAACACTGTTGTCTACCACATCTTTTTTTTTTTGTTATTGTTGTTCTTTTGTGGTCATTGTACATTTCCAGCTGAGGAAATGAAACCAAGCCACTCAAATGGGAAAGTCATCTTACTGTGTTAGAAGTAGGATAATGGCCACAAAAATGTCAGGATGCATAGAAGTAGCTGTACATGCTGTTGAAAGTCAACTTGGAGATATGACAATTCTTAAATGTGAATACATTGGATATAAAAAATTTACACACCTCTGTTAAAATGCCAGGTTTCTGTGATGTAAAAAAAACAAGACCAAGATAAATAATTCCAGAACTTTAGCCACCTTTAATGTGACCTATAACTTGTACAACTCAATTGAAAACAAACTGAAATCTGTTTTTCAGTGGGAAGTAAAAATAAAAAACTAAAATAATGTGGTTGCATTAGTGTGCACACCCTTAAACTAATATTTTGTTGAAGCACCTTTTGATTTTATTACAGCACTCAATATTTTTGGGTATAAGTTTATCAGCAATGCACATCTTGACTCTGCAATATTTGTCCACTCTTCTTTGCAAAAACGCTCCAAATCTGTCAGATTGCGAGGGCATCTCCTATGCACAGCCGTCTTCAGATCACCCCACAGATGTTCAATCGGATTCAAGTCCGGGCTCTGGCTGGGCCATTCTAAGACTTTTATCTTGTTCTGGTTAAGCCATTCCTTTGTTGATTTGGATGTATGCTTGGGGTCATTGTCGTGCTGAAAGATGAAGTTCCTCTTCATCTTCAGCTTTCTAGCAGAAGCCTGAAGGTTTTGTGCCAATATTGACTGGTATGTGGAACTGTTCATAATTCCCTCCACCTTGACTAAGGCCCCAGTTCCAGCTGAAGAAAAACAACCCCAAAGCATGATGCTGCCACCACCATGCTTCACTGTGGGTATGGTGTTCTTTTGGTGATGTGCAGTGTTGTTTTTGCGCCAAACATACCTTTTGGAATTATGGCCAAAAAGTTCAACCTTGGTTTCATCAGACCATAACACCTTTTCCCACATGCCTTTGGGAGACTTCAAATGCGTGTTTGCAAAATGTAACCGGGCATGGATATTTTTCTTTGTAAGAAAAGGCTTCCGTCTTGCCACTCTACCCCATAGCCCAGACAAATGAAGAATACGGGAGATTGTCGTCACATGTACTACACAACCAGTACTTGCCAGAAATTCCTGCAGCTCCTTTAATGTTGCTGTAGGCCTCTTGGCAGCCTCCCGGACCAGTTTTCTCCTTGTCTTTTCATCAATTTTGGAGGGACGTTCAGCTCTTGGTAATGTCACTGTTGCACCATATTTTCTCCACTTGATGATGACTGACTTCACTGTGTTCCATGGTATATCTAATGCCTTGGAAATTCTTTTGTACCCTTCTCCTGACTGATACCTTTTAACAATGAGATCCCTCTGATGCTTTGGAAGTTCTCTGCAGACTATGGCTTTTGCTGTAGGATGCAACTAGGAAAATGTCAGGAATAGCCTACTGGAACAGCTGAACTTTATATGGGGTTAATCTGAGGCACTTTAATTGATGACAGGTGTACTGACTCCTATTTAACATGAGTTTGAATGTGACTGCTTAATTCTGACAACAGTCACAGCCCCACAGTAAGAGGGTGTGCACACTATTGCAACCACATTATTTTAGTTTTTTATTTTTACTTCCCACTGAAAAACAGATTTCAGTTTGTTTTCAATTGAGTTGTACAAGTTATAGGTCACATTAAAGGTGGCTAAAGTTCTGGAATTATTTATCTTGGTCTCGTTTTTTTACATCACAGAAACCTAGCATTTTAACAGGGGTGTGTAGACTTTTTATATCCACTGTATTTGTTTGATCAAATAAATTTTGTCATGAAGGTTTAGAGAGTGACTTCTTTTGCTAACATTAGAACAGACATGCTGTCTTTGCTGAGACTGATTTAGCACAAATTACATTCATTACTAATGTAACTTCAGGTGAGTTAAAGTGGTGTGATAATTAAAGTTCCCACAGACAAGCTCTGACTTTGCCTCCAGATGCTGCAGCAGCAGCTCTCAGTCACTCCTTTCCTCCATGCTGTGCCGCAGACTGAATGCTCCCGTGCGTGTTTGGCACAGTGCCGCAGCTAGTTTTTATGGGGATCTGAAATGACGTTTACAGTTACTGACTTTCTCTCCATTTCTTGTTTATTTCAATAATTTGAAAAGTTTATGGACATAATGATACTGTATGCTTTTTATAAAATTTAGGAACAGAAATGTGGGGGGCAAGCCCTACAATCAGGGGCAGCTGCCCTCCTTTGTCTCTGTGTAGATCCGCCCTTGCTCTGCTTACCCCACTGCCAAAACAGTCCTTACTAAAATAAGCATTCGGTGGATAAATGGATAAAACACTAAATGAAGTGCAGCAAACCCTCTGAAATGATGACATTAACCCTCCAATTGATGTAAAATTGTCCACCCAGTTCAAGCTTAGAGTTGTGACTGAGACAAAAATACAGCAATAATAGTTAACGAGAAAGGAAAACAACAATTTTCATTTACAAAGAAGGGCAGCATTGAATATGTACAAAAACGAGCTCCAACAGAATGCCCTGGGTTAGAACAAACCACCCTTTGAGCAGTTGTGCGATCTGTGACCTTGATCAGGATGCAGCTAAGCACTTTGGGACAAAAGAGGAAGCTTCCTCACAACACAGGATGTGGGGAGTGGAGAAACATTGGCCTTGACACAAGCTTGCTTTGAATACTGAAACACAACACAACTACACCAGTAGATGTGTAGTCTAGCACGGACACACTGGCCAGAGCAAACATATGCTCAATCTCTTCAGCGCATTTGTGATTAACAGATGGTTTGACCAGTTGCACCACACTACACATCAATGTGGTTTTTATTTAAAAAAAAAAAAACAAAACGCTGAAACCATAGTTTACAGAATTCGATTTCAATTATTTTGTGCATGAAATGAGCTCAGAAATTCTGTTAACAGTGAAGATGACAGATTTATGAACTGAATTTACATTTGTCAACAGTACGTATGTGATTTTGATGAGTTGAGAGAAATTTATGAAGCATACCTATGAGAGACGCCCTCCTATTTGGACGACGGGACAGTTCCACCCTTCATGTTTCAATCCATCTTCACACCGTGACTGTGTTGTGAGTGGAGGAAATTAAAACACAAACATCCCACAGTCCGCATCTGTAACGTTAGCTATTCGAGTGAATTAGGCTGGCTGGAAGCAGGCAAGCTAACGCTGGGTGTGAATGAATGCTCAGAGATGACAGCTACACAGTGCGCTATCGATATGATAATACATATAGCACTACACATATAACGCTATAGAAACATATATACATGAATTAAATAACCTACATAATTGGCTAACAAACTCACTAACCATCTCGGCTCCATTTTCTCACAAACATCTCTTTCGAGTAGCTAATGCCCACCACTAAGAAAATGCTTAACGTTAGCTAGCTTTGTTGCCCACTAGCTATCTGCTAAGGCTTATCAAAATATATTCCCAACATTCAACACAATCTATTAATCTACTGAAATGCATAAATGTAAGTAATTTAGCATGATAGCCTACCCTTCTGAGTTGGCGTCAAGACAGCGAAGTGTTCCGAGGTGTTGGACTCAACCAGTCCTGCGTGTTCTTATTCTTCTGTCAAGAATTTCTTTCTACAGAGGATACTTCTATGAAAGGCTCTCCCCGGCTAATGATAGTTGGCTAGTCTTCCGCCCAGCTAGCCAACCCCTCCAGTTCCCAACGGCCGGCTGATGGCTCCCGGCGCCGGGGCAAAGCAGGCTGGTATCTGTCGTCTGTCAGCGTCTGTACCAGCTACGCATGACTGCAACCGTTACTCTTCAAGAACAATAAATGCTCCGGTGCTGTGGCTTTTGAATTGTGTAGTTCCAGAAAATAAAGACAGCCCAGCACGTCTGTTGTCAAGGGATCAACCTGAGGATGTAGGGAGCAGCTGGTCGACTGGACTGCTGCGACATTCCAGCCACGCTGTCTGTCCGGGGCCCTCCTCCCTTCCTCTATCGAACACAAACACACAGACCGTGAAAACCAAAACACACACATACAGAGAATGAACACATACAGAGAATGATGAAAACACACACATACAGAGAATGAAAACACACACATACAGAGAATGAAAACACACACAAACCCACATGCAGAGAGTGAGACTGTGTGTGATTTATCGGCGTGAATCATGCGGTAATATGTCGCCTCTGTTTCAAACCACAAAACCACATTTTAATTGGAGGATCACGCCATCTCACGTACACATCACAAGATACCACAAAATGTTTCAGTGTTTATTAGCGTGACCTGTTTTTACAAGGTAGCCCATATGATAAGAATGTTTTATTGATCCACAGGGAGAGATAGTCACACTTTACAGCAGCACAAAGCTGGGCTAAAGGTAGGACAACAGATAAATAACTATGCAAGTTAAATAAACAAAATAAGGGACATCAGAAGAAAGGCCCATTTTTAAATGTTTTTTTCACCTACAAAATCAACAGCATATGTAATTTGTTCAGGGATTAGTGGGGGAAGAAGCTCCGATTGTTTACTGAAGTAAAAATAGCTGTACAGTGTAAACTGCTACACACTGCTTTATGATATATTTCACAATAATACATCCATAATTAGAATCCATTAATATACAGTACATTAATGTGAAATGTGCCACCTACTTTTTCTTGTGGTGGGCTACTTCAAGTATATTTCTATGTTAATACCTATGTACATTTTTTGACATTTTGAAAGCAGGACTTTTAGCCATAACAGAGTGTTTATATACTGTGGTATTTCTGCCTTCACTTGAGCAAACACTGTGCTGTTTGTAGGCCTACTGCTTCTGCTAAACAGGGGGGCTATAGTAGGCTATATAAAAATACATTGATCAGGCATAACATTATGACCACTGGCAGGTGAAGTGAATAACACTGACTATCTGTTACAGGGGCACCTGTCAGTGTGTGGGGTATATTAGGCAGCAAGTGAACATTCAGTCCTCAAAGTTGATGTGTTGGAAGCAGGAAAAATGGCCAAGTGTCAGAATCTGAGTGACTTTGACAAGGGCCAAACTGTGATGGTGAGATGACTTAGTCAGAGCATCTCCCACACTGCAGGTCTTGGTGGGTGTTCTTGGTCTGCAGTGGTTAGTAGCTACCAACAGTGATCTAAGGAAGGACAAACGGTGAACCGGCGACAGGATCATGGACACCCACGGCTCACTGATGATGAGGTTGACCTACTGTAGATTAAACTTTTAACTTCCAGTTGCCCTTTTGAAAAGATTCACATTTATTTGACTTTTTGTTAAAATGGCTGACAATGAGAAATACTGTACATTGGTCTCTATGAAGAGAAAGAGTCAGGGGCTGTAGTGGTGATATCACACCTAGAGTGGTGAGGCTGTTGAATTTGTCTGAAACAATTCTCTCTAACTCGTCCTCACAACCACAATTTTCACTCCTTTTGCATACATTTTTCACTGAACTGTGGACACAACTGTGCTCTTCCTGACAGTAGAACTGTGAAAGCAAATGGAGTCACAGAAGATGCACAGTGAGCTGCAGTGACAGGAGTGCCAACCAGCTGCCACATTGACTCCTATGTAAGCAGTATTAGGCAGATGGTCATAGTGTTATGGCTGATCGGTGTATGTTGAGCTTTCGGTCACCTCTAAGATGATAATTCACATTTGTAACATCGTAGATAAGTCAGAAAACAAGGGAAAGCATGCCATGGGCCCTTTAAATATCTTACTGCTACTGTTACTGCTGCTACTGACAGTAATAACCCCTGTATTACTTTTATCTCCAAGCTACTTGTAAATTCATTTTTTACTATGGCAGTATTATATTTTATTTTACGATAGCTTTTCAACAAACTAATTTTATCACAACTCAAATAGCCAGCCCGAGCCAGCACAGGGGATCTGAGAGGTGTTGTATTTATACAGCGTGTCATGATTGCCACCCATGCAAATCAACAGCGGTGGTATCGGAAATGGATTGTACCAAGAAGGAAAAGGGTAGCTGGACCAACCTCGGGAGGGTTTACCTCCAGGAAATTTATGTCCCCACGCTCAGAACATTTTATCGGGGGTGGGGGGGGGATATGCACAGTTTCTACCATCTGTTAATGCTTGGTTGCTGAATGTCACTTGGTGTGTTTCACTCTCTTCTGGAAATCACCCCTCCGGTGAAAAACAGCGTCTGAGCTTGTGGTAGTCATCCTGCCTGGCCGCCCGGTTTCTGGAGAGAAGTTGGCAAAAGGCTGTGACAGCGATGATGGCGCTGCAACTGAGGAACGGGGATGCAGCGTATTACCAGAGTGCACAGTACTACAGAAATTACACTTCGCCGCCGGTCAGCTACGGTGACAGCAGTCATTATCTTGCCCGACTGCCAGGTAAGGAGAGGCTTGTCATGTAGGATATCCCCTCTGACTGTCAGCAGTCTTGTGCACTAATGTGCAGAGATGGAGAAAATCTAACCAGAGACCTTTGCAGATGCTACAGAGGTAAGTGGGTGTTGAAGCCGGTTGCCTTGGTAGTGCAGTCACCATCATAATCTCATGTAGAGTGGTGCACCCGCCACCATTCTCTTCAGCTTGTAGAGCATGGATGCTGCGATGCAAAATCTGAGGTTGTCCAAATGCTCAAATGGTCCCTTGAGCTGTATGGAAGCTTATTTAGGCTGCTGTCTGGCTGTAATTTGAAACAGTTTATAGCCCCAAAGCAACGTTCACATTCATATCTCGAGTGTGACGGTCAATCAAGTGGTTCGCTGTCAGAGCAAGTGAAGAAATAGAAACTGAGCCGTAGCGTCTCTCTTCACCTGCTTTGCTTGAGCTGCACAGCTGATGGCGTGTGGCATTATACAGTAAGTGTCACTGCACCTGCACAGTCGCCGCAAAAACTGGCTTTGTTGTTGGTTTTGTGGACTTGAGGCCAGCATGTGTCACGATCATGTAGCTATTAACAGCGGGAGACTGACCAGGTCACCTTGTATCTAATAAACTTGGACCCTAGTCCAAGATTTCTTGGCTTCGTGAATAAAAGGGTATTGTAATTAATTGGAAGTTCAATGCATATAGGTGCCCTAATAATGGATCAGTCAACAGAAATAACTGACAATTTGTTGAACAAAGCTTCTCACGTGTGATGCTTGTGTGCCTGCCTTTGCGAATATGATTATCAGTTTAATACTAATAATCAGTGTAATATTTTAAGAACTCTGATAACTTGTTAATGGCATTTGTTATTGTTTCTGGCTATTTTATGGACTAAACATTTAATTGGTTAATTAAAAAGATTTTAAAAAATAAGTGTAATTGCAGAACCTAAATGTACACATGCTTGTTTCCTTGCAAGACTGTAGCTCTTCAGAAGCTCAGTGTCTGCTGGTTGTTTTCTATAAGGAGGAACAAATGGTTACTAATCAATGCAGTAATAATAGCCTAATGCATATGCTAGATGACTTGTCTTTAAGGGAGGATTATTACAGTTAATTCCATGGTCAAGGACAGATGTATTAATATGAACTCTTATCCAGAAGAGGAGTTAGGTGAATGAGATTTTAACCTATACTCAGATATAAAAGTGGAATCCAGGCTTTACTGCAGTGGTACAGCAGTAAATTACAACATACAGTAAGATATACAGTATTTGGTCTTCGCTGCTTTCTGTGCTCACCCACTGAAGCAGATGGAATAAGTGCAGGAGGCATGTGCTTTTCTTTGCTCTATAATTGAGGTGACACATCAGAGTACGGCCAGAAAAACTCTAGAGAAAATGCACACTTGGCCTATTTAGACATTCTCAGTGGAGACCACAAGATTATTAGGGTCCAGGACAGGAAGGGTTTTGTTGTTTGGTTCTAAAACAACAAGAGAGAGTTTTTAAGATATTTGACAAATTTTTATGATATATGATCCATCTCTGCAGACTACAATTTGTATGTCTGTATGCCTGGATCTATAGGATTCTGGGGAGAGGAGGAAACTGATCTTGGCCTATCTAGCTCACTGTTAAACTGTGGAAGGGTAACAGCCAAAATAAAAGAACAGTAGAAGACCAAAAGTCAACATTTTAAATATGCAGGTAAACTGAAGCACCAGTCTTCTCTTTATGTTATGCAGTGGTTTATTTGAAAGTGGTACTGTTTGCTCTGTTTAGATGTTCTTGTGAGAGGAGCCTGTATTGTATTATAATATTCATAAATATAATGTTTTGTTTGCTTCTTCTGAGCTTTTTCTTGGATAGCAAGGGCACATTCTGCTCTCCACACCTGTCACCTAGTCCAAATAAAGTCATTTATGAGTCATCACTGCAAGATTTCCTCCCCTGCTAGAAAAAGCAAGTGTTCTCACAGATGTGATCATGTGTGTGCAGTGACCAATCATTGCTCACAATGCATAGCTTGATCACAATAAGTACATGTCAGCTGAACTCATCAGCAAGCGCAGTCAGGAAGGAGAAATGCTAGGGCAGCAGTGTGGACAGAAACAACTTCCAATTTTATGGTAAGTGATGTACCATAATTGTACATGTATTAAATAGGCAATGGCTGGAGCACAGTTTGTTCTTTGAACTGCTTAATGGAGCATACCATGGAAGGGTCAGCTGCCCTGCAGCAAGGCTTCCGGACTGCTGTCTATGCTGGCTCAATCAGGGTCCAAGTGTTCTCATGAGGCTGCTGCAGATGAGATTAGATGATGTGAAGCTTATATGGAACTCCACTGATGTGTCTGGTTCTGAACGGCATTAATATTGACTATGAGGCTTTTTAAAAAATTGGTCTCATTCATCACCAGCTGTGAAAAGATGAACATTTGAAGTATAAACATACTCAAAACAGTTCTTTTGTCATAACTTTGTAGCCATCTTTTAACTTTCAGTGTTGACACTATATCTATGTGTTATCACATTGTAGCATCACTTACATTATAATTGTGAGATTTTACTGTTGTATACTTTGTCTTCATTTTTGGTACTAAAGTTGTCACTGCGGTGGTGTTTCTGCTCTCTGTGTGCATCCTGAAGTGTGGTGTCTTTTGTTTGGATTTTCTGTTGATGAAGCTTGAGATTCTGTGGAGAACCGCCTTCACCCAGCGCCTCTGTTTATTGCAAATAAATAACTGCTGCTGCCCCTAAATCATGCCAGAGAATATTTCCTCCCAAGAACAGCAGATGTAAAAGTTTGCACGAGCCAGACATTTTAAAACAGCACATAGTGTCACTAAGGAGTGAAATATTTATTTAAATGTAACTATTGTAGGTTATTACTTTACTAGTGTACAGTCAACACAACCTGCTCAGTTGACTTTCTGACAGTCTCATCTTGCAGCTGACATGACTAGTGTAAGATCAGTGCCTTGTCCAGCATACCGTTCTCCTGAGGTCAGACGGGCAAGGTGACAGACAGGCAGCCAGACAGACTGACAGTGAGCTGCAGTCAGAAACACAAACACCCCAGGGTGCTATTTTGGGTCCATGAACCACTGCCAATGGGCATCCAGTTGGATTCCAGATGAAAGCTTCAGCACAGTGAGAGAGCTGGTGACTTATGACTAACCTGACAATATATGTGGTTATACACACACACACACACACACACACAAAATGGCGTGTTACAGCAGCACAAACAGACATGCACAAATCAGCTCATGCTTTTTTCTGTTTTGTATATGTCACCATGCATGTCCACACACACTATATCAACCTGTTTGAGCAGTCATACTTCAGCCTGTGATGACTTCTGATGAAGCTTTAGGATTTTATTGTCAATGTCTCTGTGTGTTCACATATGTGAATTTAGTGTCCCATATGCATGACTGTAGGCGCTGCAGGCTCATCCTAATCTATCTGATGCCCACTCGGGTGTGAAACTGCCCCAGAATGTGCTTCCATTGGCCTGTCTCTTTACATGTCCCCTGCCACAGGGTTCCAAGAAGCAAATGCCTTTTATTAGTGTCATTGTACATTGGATTTTCACCAAGTTAAGTGTCTGTTTGATGATCTGCCAACAGACAATATTCACTTAAATCAACAGTAAAAAACTGATGCATTCATCAACAGTCAAATCCAGTGCAAATCACATATTTATCTTTACCAAAGAAACAATATTTTGCTTGTTTGTCTTATGGATAAAAAATGTGGCCGCAGTTTCTGCTGCCATTTATACAGTGTTTTCTTTCTAAACAGTTGTCTCAAAATTTAGTTTTCTAGATTGCTTGCTTCAAGATTAATCTTTCTATCTCAACAGATTTTTCCATTGCTCATCCAACAAATTTACTCACATCTTTACCAAACCTGATACATAAGAAACTTGGATGAGCCCCAAAAAAGATTTTTTTCTGACATATTGAACATTGACTGAATTCATCCTTGTACAAAGCCCAAAATACATATTCTTCAGTTTGTATTTGATGCAGACGCAGCAGTGTCACAAAGTAATGCTCTGAGTTACAACAGTATACTAACATGCTGATGAAGGCTAACGTGCTGAGTGATACAGTACTATTAAAATGATTACCAGGTATATTGTTCACCATGTTTATCCTGTCAGTTAGGGTTAGCATGCTAATATTACTAATCAGCATTAAACTGAAAGAACAGCAGAGACTAATGGGAATGCCATTAGTGTTGCGATATTTGGTCATAAACTGAAGTATTGGACAAATTGAAACTTTTACCTGATGATGGTGCTAGAGGAAAAGCCATAGAATCATCAAACACTGGGACATCTGGGAACCATGAATATCTACTGAGATATTTCACTGGATATGTGAAAATTTTAATTTGGTGGTTATATTAAATTTAAAAAAAAAAAATCAGGAGATCACCAAAGTCATTTCCTTGTCTGTGGCTTTATAAATGTATGCCCTTTCTGAGTGCTTTCTAGTTTCCTTGAATAAAGCAGCATTAATGCTCATACAGTTGTTTAAAAGCCATCAAGACCTAAAGAAAAAATGGCTCACAACATAGAGAGTGAAATGTAAATCTAAATTTAAGATGTTTTGGTGCTCCTTAATGATCAACATTGAGCTGTAGAAATAAAAAAAAAAGGTCAAATTTCAAAACAAAAAGGAAATCCTTAAACAACTATAGGAACAAAATGGCATTTTGTAGCTGAATTTGTGTCTGTGTTCATCTGAACTCAGTAGTTTGCTGATTACTGCTTTTCTTCTTCTTCTTCTCTTCTTTTGTCTCTCCTCTATCCACTCACCCCAACCGGTCGAGGCAGAAGGCCGCCCACCAAGAGCCGGGGTCTGTCGGAGGTTTCTTCCGTTAAAGGGAGTTTTTCCTCCCCACTGTCACCAAGTGCTTGCTCAAGGGGGATTTGTTGGATTTTCCCTATGTAATAATATTGATAACAGTAAGGTCTAGACCTTACTTTGTAAAGTGTCCAGAGATGACTTTTGTTGTGATTTGGCGCTATACAAATAAAATTTGATTTTGAATTTGAAATGGTTTAAATACTTTCAAATGCTGAAATGAATGGCAGTTAATTATGTAGTGAATTTGAGTCAACTTACTGAATTTCCTTGTAAGAAACATTTTTGATTTCTGATATTGGCCCATGCCTACAAGTAATGTGTACTGTATTTGCATTGCCTCTGATGTCCACAGGTCCAGAAACCATGCTGAAGCCTCCTCTGACTCTCTTCAGCCATTCCCAGCAGCCTTTCCGACACATGGATTCTCTGCACCAGCTGGGACCGCTGCCGATGGCACCTATGCAGCCTCTCGGCCCACCACCTATTGCTCCTGCTCAGGCAATTGGGCCCCCAACTATGGCTCCCACCCAGACTCTAGGACCTCCTCCCATAACTGCTGCTCACACATTAAGGCCTGCCCCCATTACTCCACCACATACCTTAGGCCCCCCTCCAATATCTCCAGCTCAGCCACTGGGCCCTCCATCGATGGCACACACATTGGGTCCCCCACCTCTAGATCACACACAAGCAATAGTGCCTCCAACTATGGACCTCACACAATCACTGGGGCATCCACCTTTGAACCCTGCACAAACACTGGTCCCCGGATCTGGTCAGTTCCCCCTTCCTCCCAGCCCCATGTCCTCCCCTCCTGCTCCAGGCCCAGACCCTTCACACCTGCCCCCAAGGCCCCCAGTAACAGCCCTCATCCCATCCTCGGTGTCTGGCATCATCCCTCTTCCAGGCCAGGCAGCCCCAGTCAGCGAGCTGCCCCAGGATGAGGGCTCTCCAGTGGGGACGGAGGAGCAGGAGGACTCTCTGGGACTGGAGGAACTGTGCAAACCTCTCTACTGTAAACTCTGCAACGTTACCCTCAACTCCGCTCAGCAGGCACAAGCTCACTACCAGGTCTGTTGAAAGATACATTCATGCATGTACAGCAAATATAAAATGT